TCTGTTCTCTATAGCGAGTGTTCACTGTATTTGTGTTGTGTTTGCATGCATTTCATTGGCTAATAGTCTGACTCAGAGTTCTATACTTTTTTAAGTGAAAAGCTTTTGAAACTTTAGTCAAAAACTGTAATAAGTTTTCATTGAAATACAAATATTGTACACAATTTGAGTGAATGTCTGCTGAAGTTAACCACATTTTGTGTCACAAATACCGATCACTGGATTCATCCGGCAATCCATACACTACTCTTAGGCCACTAATTGATCACTAATATAACCACCAATTAGTTTGTAAAAGGATTTCCTTTCAAAGTCACATCAAGTATGCGTTCATCCCTTTCCACCTCTAGTTTATGTCTTTCGCTGCAATCCTTGTAATAATTGTTGTAATTATCTCCTCAATGGTGAAGACAATGCGAAATACTGTAAATTTGGACGCAAAGTGTTGTAGTGGACGACAATCACCTCATCATTGAGGAGCTACTGAAGGAGATCTCGGAGTTGAAGCAAATGGTGGGACAGTTGGAGAGAGAAGACAACTGCAGCTCAGATGACACTCTATTTCGGTGAACGCATCCGCTAAATGGGGGTCCGATTGCAGTGATTGTGGAACAGATCTGACTCGAGAAGAACCCAACTCCAGGAGTCGGTAATAATGAAAGCAATGGCAGACATATCCTCTGCAATGTATAGAACGGCACTATTCAAAGAACTGGATCTAACCGGTGAGGAGAGGCCGAAGTTGGCCCCCTCTGCCTATACGATGCCTACGAGTGGTTCCTCCCGAACCTCTCACAAGAGATCCCAAAAACCCGCAAATTATGCCAACAAATGATGAGTGAACTCACTGTCAGACTCTTCTGATACCTCTTTTGTAGTCATTTTGTAAGTAAAAGATTGTTTCAAACGAACACTTACTCAGAAACGCCGATCAGATCGTCTTGAGTGAGACTCGCGTTGCCGAAGATGTCTTCCGCTATCAGAGACATTGTCCGCAAGTCTTCCTCGAGAAGTGCACTCTTGGCGGCGTTGGCCGTCAGCTCGCGCTGCAGTCGCGCCACTTCCTCGCGCAGCTGTCCGGCCGCAGAGTCGCTCATTTGGCGCGTGAGAGCCCTTTGGAGGCGCGCCAACTCAGGGAAGTCGGCGTTCGGGTCGACCTCCGCTTCGGTCTCAGTGTCGCCGCCGCAGAGCGCGAGCAGAGCGTTGACGGCGTCGGCGAAAGCCAATAGTCTATTGCTTTGAAGGCAGAGTTCGGACTGTTTTTGGTCGAGCAATGACTGGCAGTCCTGCAGCCGTTGGTTGAGTTGCATCTTCTGGGCGTCGCAGTCGTCGAGCATTCTCTCCAAACGCTTGATCTCATGAAGATGTACTTCACCGAAGAGCGAGCCCTCCAACGACGACGGCTGCGTAGTATTGGACGGACTCTGAGAGCGCAAGAGGTCGGCCTCCAGACGCTCCAAAGTGGGGCTCTGGTCGTCGAAGGGTTCGCCGCTTCCGTCGTTCGCGGCGTTCGCTTCGTCTGCAAAACAAGACATTAAAAACTCGAGTCTTTGACACAAATGAGAGTTTAATGGAAGTCAGGGCGCGAGACAACACATGACACACGACACGGACAAAGACACGAGTCTTGCGCCGAATGCGAGGCACTCACTGGCGGTGAACTTGAGGCCCGCGAAGCCGGCAAACGTCGAGAGATTGTGAATGGAGTCCGAGTTTATGCGTCGATCCAACTCCTTCTTCACGGCGTACTTCTGCTCCCTTTCGCTTTGTAACGCTTCCAACGCCTCCTCCATCTGCGGGCGAAACGCATGTCTTAGACCACTGACAACAGCCAATCGGCGCTTACCTGGCGTTCGGCGATGCGCTTCAGGTGTTCGTATTCGTCGAGTTGTGAGTGGAGGGCATCGACGTCCTCCTGAAGCCTCCGAACCTCGTGTTTGGAGGTCTCGAAGTCCACTTGCGATGACTTGAGAGACGAGACCTGTTTCTGGAGCGAAATGTTCTCCTCTTCCAACTCGTTATTGTCGGCCAATAGTCGCGACTCTCGGAACTGCGGACCAAATGGTGACAATCGACGCATAAAACAAAAGAACAAAGTTTTGCGAATGAAATACTCATTGAAAACAAGCGAACCTTCAGTTCCTTGAGCTCCAGACGCAGACTCTTGCGCTCCCACTCGGCCTCCTCTGTCTGTTTGGCGAAATCGTTGGCGTCCTGAGTCTGGGCGTCCTTTTCCGCGCGAACCCTTTCCAACTCGAGCCGCACGGCCTTCAGTTCCCGCTCGAGCTCCTGAAGAGTGGTCGCGAAGTTGGCCTCTTTGTGGGCGCTCTCCTCCAGCAGTCGCTCCTCGCGTTCAACGCCTGTGTTTTGCGACACCTTCTGAATGGTCTGCGACTTTGCGAATGCCTGAAGAACACAATAAGACATGAAGAGTGTTGTCGTGGTGTGAATGTCTCACTTCTCGCAATTCCTCCAAATCCTTGCGAACCGTATCGAAGTTGATCTCAAGTTCGTCGTACCGGCGCTGAAGCTCCTCCTTCTCGTCCTGTCAACAGACAAACAGCCGTTAGTGAAGGAGTGGTGACCACTGCTTACGCCGAGAGGACACTGACGAGGAGGACGAGCCCGTACTGCGCCGACTGGATCTTCTCGGCGCTTGTCTGCGCCAACTCGCGGTTCAGGCGCTCGATCTCGGCCTTCATGACCGACGCGTCGTCGACCGCCGCCGGAACCAATGGAGCCGAAGGATCAGTCATTGGTTGGCGACTCTTCTCGTGGTTCTCATTGCCTCTGAATTGCGATTAAAACAACAATTCAAAGGAAAACCAATGAATACATCAATACGTCATCCATTGGACGCATCACTACTGCATGAGAAGTACACTTTCACTGCAACTCTTGTTCCCAATT